GAGAAAATATCTGTAAATCATATATCTGATAAAGGGTTAATATCCAAAATACATAAAGAAATCATACAACTCAATTGCAAAAAAACAGTCCAATTAAAAATGGGCAGAGGATCTGAGTAGATATTTTTCCAAAGAAGACATACAGATGGCCAACAGACACATGAAAAGATTCTCAACATCACTAACCATCAGGAAAATGCAAAATAAAACCACAATGAGATATCACCTCACACCTGTTAGAATGGCTATTATCAAAAAGACAAGAAATAACCAGTGTTGGTGAGGATGTGGAGAAAAGGAAACCTTGTGTACTGTTGGTGAGAATGTAAACTGGTGCAGCCACTACAGAAAACAATATGGAGGTTCCTGAAAATATTTAAAAAAAGAACTACTATATGATCCAGCAATTCCTCTTCTGCGTATTTATTTGAAGATAATGAAAACACTAACTCAAAAAGATATATGTACCCCCATGTTCACTGCAGCATTATTTACAATAGCCAAGATATGGAAACAACCTAAGCGCCCAGTGATGGACGAATGGATAAAGGAAATGTGATATATACGTGCAATGGAATATTATTCAGCCATAAAAAAGAATGAAATCTTACCATTTGCGACAACATGGATGGACCTTGAGGGCAATATGCAATGTGAAATAAATCAGAGAGAGAAAGACAAATACCGTATGATCTCACTTACATGTGGAAACTAAAACAAAACAAAACAAAACCAAGCTCATAGATTCAGAGAACAGATTGGTGGTTGCCAGAGGCAGAGGGTGGGGGAGTAGGCAAAATGAGTGAAGGGATTCAAAAGGTACGAACTTCCTGTTATAAAATAAATACATCATGGAGATGTAACATACAACATGGAGACTATAGTTAATAATAATGTATTGCATATTTGAAAGTTGCTAAGAGAGTAAATCTTAAAAGTCCTCATCACAAGAAAAAAAATTCTCTAACCATGGATGGTGACGGATGGTAACTAGACTTACTGTGGTGATCATTTCACAACATATACAAATATCAAATCATTATGTTGTACACCTGAATTTAATATAATGTTGTATGTCAATAATATCTCAATTAAAAAAGACAAAGAAAAAGACAGGAAGAAAATGGGCTAAGGAAAATAGTTGCTATTAGGGTGGTGATTTTATAAATGATTTAAACAAGCTTTTAATATTGCTATATTGTTTTTATAATTATAAAGAGAACAGATCAGTGGTTACCAGAGGGGAAGGGAGTTGGGGCGTGGCCAAAAGGGGTAAAGGGGCACATATATACGGTGACAGATAAAAATTAGACTATTGGTAATAAGCATGATGCAGTCTATACAGAAACTGATAAATAATAATGTACACCTGAAATTTCACAACGTTATAAACCATTATGACCTCGGTAAAATAATAATAATAATAAAAAGAAAAATAGTAAACAGGAATTCATTTATTCATTCAACAAACGTTTACTGAGTGTCTACTATAAGCTGCATTATTTATTATATAGTTATAATACTTAAGATTAACTCCAAAGAAAAATCTGCTTACTTCTATATTCAACAGACACATGTTGAACGTCTGTTAGGTAACCAGCTATATTTTAGAGAATGGGGATGTAGTGAAGAACTATTAGGGGCTAAGTGTAAAAGAAGAGAGATATAAAGTAAACAAAAACAAAATGTGTAAGTGCAATTGTAGACCTGTGCATAGAGGAGGAATCAATAAGCCAGGCTTTCAGAAGGGGGAAGAGCCAGGAAAGGCTTTGTGGAGGAGGTGCTACTTGAACTGAGTCTTGAAAGGACTTGGTTATGAGTTAAACAGGTTTATGAGGCAGAAAGAGCCATGTCAAATAGAGCAGACACCATTCATTCATTCATTCAATGAGTACCTACTATATGCCAGATACTATTCTAGGTACCAGGCACACAGTAGTGAATCTTATTCATTAATGGGCAAATTTCCTGCTGCAATGAAGCTTCCTACTTAGTAAGGGTAGATAATAATCAGATATACAAATAAACAAGAGGATTTCAGACAGTGAAAAGCACCATAAAGAAAACAGAACAGGGTGACATGACTGAGACTGGCAGAATTCCTCTAGATAGTATTCAGGCAGAGAAGGTTTCCAAGTTGAGACCTCAGTAATGAGAAGGAGCCACCCACATGGAAAGCTGAAGGAAGAGTTACATAAGTAATATTACATTCTCTAGTAACCACATTTAAAAAGAAACAGGTAAAATTAATATTAATAATATATTTTACTTTATCTAAAATGATACTTTAATATATAATCAATATAAAATTATTAATGAGATCTTTTACACTCTTTTTTTCATACTATGTCCTCAAAATCCAGTTTGTATTTTACACTCATAGGACATTTCAATTTAGACTAGGCACATTTCAAGTGCTCAACAGCTACATATAGCCAGTAGCCACATTACTGAATAGTGCAATGCTAGATATAACAGGGGAGATGAGTTTGAGGGGTGAAGACTGAAAGCACTGTACTAATGAGAAGGCTGCTGTAGTAGCCCAGTGAGAAATGATAAGGACTAGAATGGAGAAGAAGTACATGTATAGACAGGTCAGGCAAACACTGAGAAATATTTAGGAACTAAAATTGGCAGGAATTAGTGAACTGTGAAGGTAAGATAAAGAGTAGTCACTGATGACTCCTAGTTTTTAACCTGGGTGACTGGGTGGTTTAGCGCCATGAACTGAGATAGTAAACATGGGGCCTGAAGCAAACTTACGGAAAAAAACTTAGTTTAGTTTTGAATATGTTGACTTTGAGGTACCTATGAGACATCAAGATGGAAAATGCCCAGGAAACAACTGGAAATAAAAATAAGAAGCTTGAGATACAGATTTGAAAGTCATATATACGTAGACAACGGTTGAAACCATTTTGAAACCATCAAAATAACACAAGCCTCTTCTCTGAAAAGGGCAAGGATACAATCAGAAATAGAAGTTTTCCATCTACACTGCATTTGACTAAACTTGGTTGAGTTTATGCTCCCTGTATTTCTTTACACCGAAGATCCAAAGAGAGGAGAGCTCTTTCAAATGTTATAGAGCTTCTCCTTATCCATATCAAAATATAAATCCTAATCCTATATTTGTATACATTTCAAGGTTTGTAAAGATGTTTAAATATTATATAGAGTTATTGTGGCTATAGGAATAGAGACAGTGAGGATAGGCAGACTACTGTTTTGAGATGTAGGAATGAGAAAAGGAAAGAGACCAGATCAGATGGCTTAATGAGACAAGGGAAGTCTTCAGGGTGAGAGACTCTTAAGCATGTGTATAGGCTGAAAGGAAGGAGCCAGTAATGATGAAGAGATTGAATATTTAGGAAAGAAAAGGGATGACTGCCAGAGCAAGATCCCGAAAGACAAAGGAGAAAATGAGGTCAGAGTACATTAGGAGGGAAAACTTGTTACTCAAGACTGAGAAAAATATGGTGAGAAGGGGTTTGGATTAAGTAAGTATGTAGGTAGAAGGTAGCTGAAGGAAAATGATTCCTGATAGGTTCACTTTTCTCAAGGTAGCAGGAGACAAAGTTGTCTGTAAAAGTAAAAAAGTAAAGCAGAAAAGACTGAGTTAGAGGCTTGAGAAAAGCAATGAAGAATTATCATAAAAACCCCCTTTCAAGTTAACATTTCTGACATGAATAAAAATTTAATAATAAAAGTTAGCAAAGGACAAAATAAGACATGTAAGTTTAGAAAGAAGGTAATCTCTCCTTTCTATGATAGTCTTTTCATAAAACATTTTGTTTGTGCTTATATTCTGTCTTTTACAATGTATATACACGTACTTCTTTTCTCTTTCCTATAAGACTGTATCCTATCTAGCATTTTAAAAAGAATTTAACTTTACACTAGAGTGAATTGTATATATATTTGTCTTTTCCATTAAATTGTAATGTCTCTTAGGGAGAGACCTCATGTCTGCATTTTTCCAGGGCCTATGAACTACACCGCATGTAGTAGGAACTCAATTAATTTAACCTGCCAAATTGAATTTGGGGGAGGCAACATGGTTTCTGGGCAGCCTACACATGCAATGTGTCCCTGAAAACTTGTATAAAGCTGAATATGAAAAATTCAAGTAACAGATGTACATGTTATATGAGGATTTTATTTCCTGAGAGCTAAAAGTAAAGACAATAAAACCCCTTATGATACCTTCCTTGCCTTTTAGAGATAATCTTTAATGACATTATTCCCAACATCTTCCAGACATTCTTTGCGTTTACCCTTTACAACAGAACGCAGCTAATCTCTTCAAATCCAATGAGTGTTGCATTGATGCTTTAAAATTGTTGCTTTCTACATGCCGAATGATTTCCATCTTTGTTTTAATTGTATTCAACTTGAGACATTTCTTTTTAATAATGATGTGTACTATGTTTTATAATTCTCACCCATTTTAATAAAAATGCACAAAATACAATAAAATATTCAAATAATCACACAAATGCACTAGTATTGGTGACAAAGAAGGTGATGATGCCAAGGCTGTTAGTTGGCAGCTACTGCTACCATATAAAAGCAGCAAATGTTCTGAATCCAAAGGATAATAAAGGGTGTGTGTGTGTGTGTGTGTCTGCATATATCTCCAAAGTTTCATACCATAATACCCAAAATGTCCAGGTTTCAATCGAAAACCACTAGTCATACCAAGAACCAGGAAGATCTCAAACTAAATGCAAAAAAGACAATCAATGGATGCCAAAACTCAGATGACAGAGATGTTGGTATTATTTGACAAAGAATTTAAAGCAGTCATGATACAATTGCTTTAATGATGAATTATGAAACGCTCAAACCAATGAAAAAACAGAAAGCCTCAGCAAAGATACCAGAAAGTCTCAGAAAAGAAATAGAAGACATAAAGAAAAACCAAATGGAAATATTAGAATTGGAAAATACAATAACCCAAATAAAAAGCTCAGCAAATTGTGTTAGCAGAATAGACGAGACAGAGGAAGGAATCAGCAAACTGAAGACAGAACAATAGAAATTATCCAACCTGAACAACAGAGAGAAAATAGACTGAAAAAAAAAATGAAGTGAGAGATTCAGGGACCTACGTGACCATAAGAAATGACCTAACATTTGGGTCATCAGAGCCCAGAAGGAGAGAAAAGGGGGAAGCTGAAAAAGTACTTGAAGAAAAAATGGCTGATAACTCCCCAAATTTGGTAAGAGACACAAACTGACAGATTCAAGAAATTGAGCAAACCTAAATAGAATAAATAAAGAAATAAATAGAATGACCTTAAATAGACCTTAAATAGAATAAATAAAGAAATCCATGTCAAAACACATTATTAGTAAGCTTCTGAAAACTGAAGACAAAGAAAAAAAATCTTGAAAGCAGGCAAGAAAAATCTGATACCTTAACCATCAGGGTTAAAACAATTTAAATGACAGCAGAGGGCCGGCCCAGTGGCGCAAGCGGTTAAGTGCTCGTGCTCCGCTCTGGCGGCCCAGGGTTTGCTGGTTCGGATCCCGGGCGTGCACCGACGCACTGTTTGTCAAGCCATGCTGTGGCAGCATCCCATATAAAGTAGAGGAAGATGGGCATGGATGTTAGCCCAGGGCCAGTCTTCTTCAGCAAAAAATGAGGAAGATTGGCAGATGTTAGCACAGGGCTGATCTTCCTCACAAAATAAATAAATAAATAAATAAATAAATGACAGCAGATTTCTCATCAGAAATTTTCTAGAAGCCAGAAGGAAGCAGCACAAAACTTATCAGGTGCTGAAAAAAAGAACTATAAACCCAGAATCTTTTTTTTTTTTTTTTTAAACCCAGAATCTTATACTCCATCAAAATATCTTTCAGGAAATGAAGGGGAAATCAAGCTATTCTCAGATAATTGAAAAGTAAGAGAATTTGTCAGCAAATCTACCCTAAAAGAATTGTTGAATTCTCTAAACAGAAAGAAAATAATAAAAGAAGAAACCTTAAAACTTCAAGAAAGAAGAAAGAATCCAGTAAGCAAAAATATGGGTAAACACAATAGGCTTTCCTTTTCCTTTTGAGTTTTCCAAATTAAGCTTGATAGCTGAAGCAAAAATTATAACACTGTCTGATGTGGTTCTAAATGTATGTCGAGGAAATATTTAAGACTTACATTACAATTATAATTGGGGGAGGGTAAAGAGATGTAAAGGGAAGTAAGGTTTCTATAAGTCACTCTGGTAAAATGACGACACTAGGATACTGGGATAAGTTATGTATATATAATGTAATACTTAGAACAATCACTAAAGAAGCTACACAGAGTTACACTAAAAAATGCTATAGACAAATCAAAATGGAACTTTAAAAATGTTCAAGTAAAAACAGAGAAATAAAAAGCAGAGAGAGCAGAAAACCAAAAAAAAAAGGCACACAAATTCTAACATATCAATAATTACATTACCTGTCAATGGTCTAAATATACCAATTAAAAAAGACTGGTAGAATGGATTAAAAACTATGACCCAACTATATCGTGTCTACAAGAAACTCATTTCAAATATAATTTATTAGTAGGTTGAAAGTAAAAGGATGAAAAAATATCATGTAAACATTAATCAAAAGAAAGCAGGGTGAATTCATTACTATCAAATAAAGCAGATTTCAGAGAAAAGAAAATTATTGGAGACAGAGGCATTATATAATGATAAAAGAGTCAATCTACCAAGAAGATGTCGCAATTCTAATTGTGTGTACATCAAACAACAGAGTAGCAGAATATGTGAAAGAAAAACTGATAAAATTGAAAGGAGAAATAGACAAATTCACAATTATAGTTGGAGATTTCAACTCTCCTCCTCAACAACTGATAGACCCAATAGATAGAAAATAAGCAAGGATAGAGAACTCAGCAACATCATCAACCAACAGGATCTAATAAACACTCCATCCAATAAAAGCACATTCTTTTCAAGTGCCCACTGAACATATACCAAGATGGGCCACAGAAAAATCTCCAAACACTTGGAAACTAAAAAACATATGACTAAATAATTCATGCATCAAAAAGAAAGTCTCAAGGGAAATTTAAAAATACATTAAACTAAATACAAACGAACATACAACATATCAAAATTTGTGGGACACGGCCAAAGCTGTGCTGAGAGGGAAATGCCTAGCATTAAACATATATTATACACACAATCACATATATTAGAAAAGAGAAAAAGTCTCAAATCTATAATCTAAACTCCCCCCTTAAGAATCTAGAGAAAGGAAAGCAAAATAAATCCAAAGCAAGCAGAAGGAAGGAAATAATAAAGATAAGAACAAAAATCAATAAAATTGAAAAGAAAAATCAATGAAACAAACAGCTGATTCTTTGAAAAGATTAATAAAATCAACAAACTTCTACTATGACTGACAAAGAAAAGAGAGAAGACACAGACTACCAATATTAGGAATGAAAGAGGGGAAGGGGATATCACTACCAACTCTGATGTCTAGGAATACTATAGAAAACTCTACACCCATAAATTTAGACAAGATAGATGAAATGGACCAAATTCCTCAAAAAACAGAGACTATCACAATTCACCAATTTGAAATAGATAACTTGAATAATCCTATAACTATTAAGGAAATTGCAACTGTAATTCGAAAACACCCCCAAAATAAATTTCCAGGCCCAGATGGTTTCACTGGAGACTTCTACCAAACTTTTAAAGAAGAACTCTTCCACAAATTAGAAGAGAGAAAACTTCCCACCTCATTTTATAAAATTAGTTTTACACCTTAAAGTTCTTAACAAAATAATAGCAAATAGAATTCAGCAACCATATAAAAAGAATTATATACCATGACCAAGTGGGGTTTATTCCAGAGATGCAAGGCTGGTTCATTATTCAAAAATCAATAATGTAATTTACCATATTAATGAGCTAAAGTTTAGAAGAAAAATCACAGGATCATATCAAATGATCCAGAAAAAGCATTTGAAAAAAATTTAACACCCAATCATGACAAAATAAATACTCAGAGAAACAGGAATAGAGGGGAACTTCCTTAACCTGATAAAGTGTCAAAAAAACCCTACAGCATTAGCTGAGGAAGTTTTATTTATTATATTTAGTGGTGGAAAACTGAATGCTTTTCCCCTAAGACTGGAAACAAGGCAAAGATATCTGCTCTCACCACTCTTACTCAACATTGTACTGGAAGCTCAAGCCAGAGCAATAAACTACAAATAAAAGGAAGTAAAGGCACAGAGATTGGAAAGGAAGAAACAAAACTGTCCCTATCTGTAGATGACATAATTGTCTATGTAGATAATCCCAAGGAATATACAAAAAAAATCCTCTTAGAATGAATGAATTCAGCATGGTCACAAGATATAAGATAAACATACAAAAATCAATTGTATTTCTACATACTAGCAACGAACACATGGACACCAAAATTTAAAAATACAATACCATCATTTATGATCACTGAAAAAAATATGTAACAGACTTGTACATTGAAAAATACAAAATGCTAATGAAAGAACTCAAAGAAGATCAAAATAAATGTAAAGAGATAACATGTTCATAGACTGGAAGACACAACATAGTAAAGACATCAGTTCTCCCCCAAATTGATATACAGGTTTAACACAATTCTTTTTTTTTTTTTTTGTGAGGAATATCGGCCCTGAGCTAACATCTGCCAATCCTCCTCTTTTTTTGCTGAGGAACACTGGCCCTGGGCTAACATCCGTGCCCATCTTCCTCCGCTTTATATGGGACACCGCCACAGCATGGCTTGCCAAGTGGTGCGTCGGTGCGCGCCCGGGATCCAAACCGGTGAACCCCGGGCTGCCACAGCAGAGCGCGTGCACTTAACCACTTGCGCCACTGGGCCGGCCCTAACACAATTCTTATCAAAATTGCAGCAAGACTTTTTGTAGATATAGACAAGATTATTCTAAAATTTATAAAGAAAGGCAAAGGAACTAGAATAGCTAAAACAATTCTGAAAAAGAATAATAAAGTAGGAGGAATCAATCTACTCAGTGTTAAGACTTATTATATAGCTATACTAACCAAGATTGTGTGTACTGGCAGAGGGACAGATTCATAAATCAATGCAACAGAATAGAGAGCCCAGAAATAGACCAGAGCAATAAGCTCAACTGGTTTTTATGGAAGCACAAAAGCAATTTAAGAGAGGAAAGACAGCCCTTTAGACAAAAGATGCTGGAGCAATTGGACATCCATTGGCAAAAAAATGAACCTCAACCTGTCTCATGCCTTATACAAAAATTAACTCAAAATAGATCACAAATTTAAATGTGAGACATAAAACTCGTAGAAAAAAGACATAGAAAACCTTCAGGCTCTAGGGCTAGACAAAGAGTTCTTAGACTTGAAACCAAAAGCACGATCCATAAAAGGAAAAATTGGTAAGGTAGGCTTTACCAAAATTAAAAACTTTTGCTTTGCGAAAGGCCATGTTAAGAGGAGGAAAAGACAAGCTGCAGACTGGGGGGAAATATTTGCAAATATTATCTAATAACTTGTATCCAAAAATATACAAAGAACTCTTAAAACAACAATAATAAAACAAACAACCCAATTAGAAAATGGGCAAGAGGTCTGAACAGACACCCTACCAAAGAAGATATGCAGACAGCAAATAAGCATTTGAAAAGATGTTCAACATCACAAGTCATTAGGGAACTGCAAATTAAAACAGCAATGAGATACCACTACACAACTATTAGAGTGGCTAAAATTCAAAAAACTGACAATATCAAATGCTAACAAGCATGCAGAGCAACAACAACTTTCATTTATTGTTGATAGAAATGCAATAGGGTACAGCCACTTTAGAAGACAGTTTGGCAGTTTCTTATAAAGCTAAACATAGTCTTACCATATGATCCAGCAATCGTACTCCTAGGTTGAGTTGGGTTGAAAAGTTATGACCACACAAAAACCCGCACACAGATGTTTATAGCAGCTTTATTCATAATCGTCAAAAATTGGAAGTAACTAAGATGTGCTTCAGCAGGTGAATAGATGAATAAACTGGTACATCCATACAATGGAATATTACTCAGCTATAAAAAGAAATACACGTTCAACCCATGAAAAGACATTGGAAAAACCTTAAATGCCAATTGTTAAGTGAAAAAAGTCAGTCTGAAAAGACTACATAATGTATGGTTCCAACTATATGACATTTTGGAAAAGGCATACCTATAGAGAGAGTAAAAAGATCAGTGGTTTCTCAGGGAGAGGAAGGAGAAGGATGAATAGGTGAAGCACAGGGGATTTTTAGGGTATTCTGTATGAAATCGAAATGGTGGATACAGGTCATTATGCATTTGTCACAACCTACAGAACTGTACAACACAAAGAGTGAATCTTAATGTAAACTGTGGACTATAGTTAATAATAATCTATCAATATTGGTTCATTAATTGTAACAAATGGACCACACAAATGCAAGATGTTAATAATAGGGGAAACCATGTGAGAGTGGTGTGGGCTGGGGGTGAGGTGGGTATATGGAATTCTATGTACTATCTGCTCAATTATTCTGTAAATCTAAAACTGCATTAACAAATCAAGTCCAGGGGCCGGCCCCAGGGCTTAGTGGTTAAGTGCGGGAGCTCCGCTACTGATGGCCCAGGTTCGGATCCCAGACGCGCACAGACGCACCACATGTCCGGCCATGCTGAGGCCGCGTCCCACATACAGCAACTAGAAGGATGTGCAACTATGACATGCAACTGTGTGCTGGGGCTTTGGGGAGAAAAAGGGAAAAAAAACAAAGGGGGAGGATTGGCAGTAGATGTTAGCTCAGGGCTGGTCTTCCTCAGCAAAAAGAGGAGGATTGGCATGGATGTTAGCTCAGGGCTGACATTCCTCACACACACACACACACAAAAATCAAGTTCACTAATCATTCAAAAAAAAGACAAGCTGAAGACTGGGAGAAAATATTTGTAAATATTATCCAACAAAGGGCTAGTATCTAAAATATATAAAGAACTCTAAAAACTCAACAATAAAAAAAACAAACAAGCCAATTAGAAAATGGGCATAAGACACCAATAGACATTTCACTGAAGAGAATATACAGATGGCAAATAAGCATATGAAACGATGTTCAAAAAATTAAGATCACAATGAGATATTACTACACACCTATCTAAAGGGCTAAAATAAAAAAGAGTGACATCATCAAAAGCTGGTGAGGATGTGGAGAAATTGGATCACTCATACATTGCTAATGAGAATGTAACATGGTACAGTTACTCCGAAAATAGTTTGGCAGTTTTTTAAAAAAAACTAAACATGTAGCCAACATACTACCCAGCAATTGCATTCTTGAGCACTTGACCCAGAGAAATGACAATCTATATTCACCAAAAACCTGCACATAAATTTTTATAGCAGCTATAGTCATAAGGGTCTGAAACTGGAAACAACACAAATGTCATTCAGTGGCTTAATGGTTAAACTATGGTACATCCATATTGTGGAATATTACTCAGCAATAAAAATGAACAAACTATTGATTTATGCAACAACCTGGATGAATCCCCAGAGAATTATACTGAGAGAAAAAAATGTAGATCTCAAAGGGTTACAGAACTGTATGATCCCACTTATATAACACTCCTGAAATGGCAAAATTATAAAATGGAGAACGTATTAGTGGCCGCCAGGGGTTAGGGAGAAAGTGGGGGCAGGAGGAAGAGAGTGTGGTATATAAAAAGGTAACAAGAGATTATGGAAATGTTCTGTATCTTAACTGTATCAGTGTCAATAATCCTGGTTGTGATACTGTACTATACTTCTGTAATTTACCACTGGAGAAACTGTGTGAAGGGTATATGGAGTTTATCTGTATTATTTCTAACAACTGCACGTGAATCTACAATTATCTCAGAACAAAAAGGTTAATTAAAAAAACACTTGGCTCTTCCTCAAAACCCTCATTGAATTAACCACTCCCTCTTTCAAACCATCTCAGTATGCTACACAATACTGCTAATACAGTATTATTACATTTTTCATATTCTCTTGTAATGTTATTCTCCCTTACTAAACTGTGAGCTCCAAGAGGATGTCTTACAGACAAGGTATGTCGTGTTCATCTATGTATGCCTAGCATCTAGCAGTCTCTGATGTACTGTGAGTGTTTTGTAAATGTTAGTTGAATGAAATAGATGTGATGTAATCAAGAAGGTAATTCAATAATTAAATTGTAGTTATGTTCAATTTACTACTATTCATATAGATCCTCATTTACTGGCTCCTCAATAGCAAAATGATCTCTTCAGTGATTATTAAAGATTGATTTCTCTCATTCCCCACTCCTTTAGTAATATAACTAAATAACAATAATTCTGGAGTGGACAAAATTATGTTTGTGCCTTCTCCCCTGCAAAAGATACAATTTCATTTATTTAACTAAACAGAATGCTATCAACCACAATCACTTTACAAAGAAATATAAAAATCCTATAAATTGTTGACAATGTCTCAAGTGCTTACTTTATGAAATTGTAAGAAAGCTTCAGGTACTACACACATGGTTAGGAACTTTTTACTTAATTGAACTGACAAAAATTAAGTCATAAACACAAGTTAAAATTATAACCATTTAGGGGCTGGCCCAGTGGCATAGCAGTTAAGTATGTGTGCTCCGCTGCAGCAGCCTGGGGTTTGCAGGCTCGGATCCTGGGCCCGCACTGACGCACCGCTTGTCAAGCCATGCTGTGGTGGCGTCTCATAAAAAGTAGAGGAAGATGGGCACTGATGTCAGCCCAGGGCCAAGCTTCCTTGGCAAAATAGGAGGATTGGGATTGGATGTTAGCTCAGGGCTGATCTTCCTCACACACACACACACAAAAAATTATAACCATTTAAAAATGGAAATAAGATTGGAGTACATATTTAAGCAGCCATAATAGCAGGATACAGTAATTAGAGCTGAATAAAAAGCAAATATAGATCACAAAAAGTCATCTAGACGTATAAGAAACACTAACGATATTCCACATTTTGGTTAATTAACAGATCTAAAAAGAAGGGAGTCAGAGTATATATAATAGGTGGCATGCATAGAGAGAAAGAGAAGGAATGCCAAAATCTCTTCCACCATTTCCCACACAACCTGCCAATATTCTAGACTAGTATAACATATCAGATCTAAAAAAGCCATCTGAAACAATTCTTAATTTCAGAGTGAAACAGACCAAGACTGTGATGCCTTTTTATAGAAATCTTCATTTGATACTTTTTCTTTCAAATTGAATATTTTCAGAAGTAGAGTAAAATATGTATTATCCCAAACTTTACCAAAAGGATCAAAGCCAGTACTTCTGAAACATCTATTCAAATATTTCATCTAGGGACCATCTCCTCAATTGCAGTATCAGTCTTCTTTGAGATTTCATTAAAAACAAAAAGTTTAAATAGTCTCTAATGGTTTTAAGGAGATGGAGGAAAATCTAAAAGCCGATGGAGGAAATATAAATCTTTTTGTCAGTAAGGAACCCGTGGTTCCTCTCGATTTTTTTTTTGTGTTGAGACGTCTATTAGAGTAACATTTCTGGTCTGTCTCTGCGCTGTTCTCTCATTTCTCCCTAAAGAATTTTACACATATTTGCTTCTTATGAAGTGGGTACTACTGTAATCAGGTAACATGTGCAAGGTGCATATGATTCAAAGCTCATGCTCTCATCCAGTATGTTCTTTTGCCTCTCTACCATTCATTGCTTGACTGTCTAATAAGATCTCACAAATAGTACAGTAGGAGGAAGCAGTATTCAAACCCAGTTTTACTTGTCTCCCTATTGCTCAACGCTACATCCATTTACAACCTCTATTCTTTACATTCTACTAGTATTTACTAAAGTGTGGTCAATCACCTTTAGCAGAAGCACCATGACTGGCATGTTAAAAATGCAAATTTTTGGATCATCACTCTAATCCTATTGAATCAGATTGAAGGTGGGTGCAAGATTATGCATTTTTAAGTAAGCATCCAAGAGGATTCATATACATACCAAAGTTTGAGGATCACAGCATTACATAAGGCTGTCTTGTTGAAAACACCTCTTTAGAGTGTAAAAAGGAATGGATTCAGAGACTCAGAATTCTGTTTTTGCTACTTATTGCCATGTGACCTGGGGCAAGCAATT